CATCATCTCATCGTTTAGTTCACCCCATGCGCACGTTTCCGCAAGACCATGCAAATCTGTTATGAATTTTTCAGATGGATCACTCCCTTGCTTGTGTCTCAAAAATTTTGTTCTCTCATAAATTATATCCCGTCTTGGCACAAAGTATTCATCAAAGGCCCGAAGAGCCACGTCATAAGTATTAGGTTTAGGTGAAAACTAATCGAAAATATCTTCACTTCTACTACCGATTGTAAACAAAAGTACATCGATTTGCCGAGCGTCAGAAGTGCTATCCAGACCGCAACCCCGTCTGTACCTTTGAAAGCGATGCCACTCATTCGGAGTAAAAGAGAACGTTTCCGGAGTTGGTAACGTGATATTGATCATCGGAGTATGAGTACATATAACTGCATTATTTTCTCTGTTCGTATGTCCCAATGCAAAACCTCGTGACTCATCTTTAGTCTTTCTAGAGCCCCTTTCTGAAACGTAATTGAGTTCACTTTGGGCGTTGTCCTCATACCTTTGCCTCCGAGTATTTAATTTTTTTCTGCTCTTACTTGACATTATGCGTGGTTTTAGACTTTCAGTTCGATAAAAATGCACTACGCTGCCACCATGTTCTATTTATAATCCAAGAATATTAAACACACATCTTGTTTCAACAAACTCTATTTCAAAACTTAACCAATGTTTACAAAAACATGTTTACCAAAATCATCTGTCAACAAAAGATATTTAAACACAAATAAATCATATGACTTAAAGAACAGACTTAATACAACACTAAGCTATTATTATTTTACAAAAAAAAACAACACTTAAATAGTTTCCTTGTAGCAGAAAAGCTAGGTACTCGTTAAACCTAATATTATTTAAATAGATTTAATTGCAAATCAATTCACACAAATGGAAATTTGCTTAGTTGGCACGTTTGCTGCGGAGAGGGTATTTTAATTAGAACTTGTTTTACAGGTATGAGATTTGGCAAGATGCAGGTGAAGGCTGGATTGAGTACAATAATATCTAACTATGAGTTGAGCATTACACCAGAAACTCCCATACCCGTGGAGTTAACTCCTAACAGTATAGTGACAACTTCCGCCAAACCAATGAAGTTGCGGTTCTCCAAGAGATCATCATAGAACCAATAGTGTGCCAATGGGCAAGTTAGTGAGAAAGTGTTTCGTAAAGGTGCTCTTCGACTATCTAAGGACTAGAACCGAACAATAAAACTGTGTTAAAGAACAATTTACAACTAAAGCAGAACCTTTTGATTCTATAGAACTAAACCTTCCATCCCAATGTTGAAGTTGGTTACAGAGACTAAAAAACTGTACATTAAAAATTATCTTGTTATTGTTAAGGAGAAAACAAAATAGTTCGCTTGATTATGGATATATTTTGATAAAAATTGGAAAATTTATTTCTTTCATCCTACACTATAACATTTTTATAAAAACAACACATTTTCTTATCGTAGTTCCAAAACTATGTATTTTAATCTAATGTTTTAAAAAGGTTGAATATGACTATTTATGGAAAACTTTGAGGTAAAATCAAGACAAATTGAAATTCGCTTAGTCTGCAGATTCGGTACTAATGGTGATATTTTGATAAAAACACATCAATATATATATACAGGGTGGTAAAAAAGTCCCAGGACAGTTAAATATTTTAAAAAATGATGCAGATAGAGCTACAATACTTGGTACAAAGTTACAGGGCATAAAACTCTATTTTAACACATATTCAATGATCCAATAACTCTTCAGCGGGACGGCCCACAAGGAGTCGGAAGAAAATCTTAAATGGAAGCATAGGTCAAATCAAATACCTACGTCAAATACCTGCCTAGGATGCACATCAAATTAAAGGTATTTTTTAGTAGAATACAATGCCGCAAACTGGACTTCAAAAGGTTGATCCTGCGCAAAATGACAGTTGTTCAAAGATTCATTTAATTTACATTGCTATTATACGCTTACTCCTCAGGGGGCACAGCCCTAGGAATCGGAAGAAAATTGTTAACGTAAGCATAGGTCGATATACACATCAAATTAAAGGTCTTCACTAGTAGATTACGATGCCGTAAATTCAAGCTCAAAAGAATGCCTGAGTAAAAAATGGCAGTCGTTCAAAGATTCATAATGGCGGATTCAAGAAATCTTTGAACATCTGCCATTTTGCGCAGGATCAACCTTTTGAAGTACGGTTTGCGGCATTGTATTCTACTAAAAAATACCTTTGATTTGATGTGCATATTGACCTATGCTTCCATTTAAGATTTTCTTCCGACTCCTTGTGGGCCGTCCCCCTGAAGAGTTATTGGATCACTGAATATGTGTTAAAATAGGGTTTTATGCCCTGTAACTTTGTACCAAGTATTGTAGCTCTATCTGCATTATTTTTTAAAATATTTAACTGTCCTGGGACTTTTTTACCACCCTGTATATATATATATATATAATACGCTAAGCCGATTTTTGTAAACAGAACTCCTCCCTCATTTTTTGACTGATTTTGATGATTGAAGTGTCAAATAAATGGCCCTAATCTGTAGTTTTGCAAATTGTTTTTAGACTTAGTTAAAGATGTTAAAAAAATCCGGCTTTGCTCTGGAAGTAATAAGTCCTGCAGTCTGTGGTTAAACTTAAAAACTATTTCAAACTATGACCATATGTTTAATTGTAAACAAAGAGAATCGAGTTTGACAGTTTGATCCAATGTCCACGGATAGCGCCACCGTCCCGAAACTTTTGCCCTTAACTGTACTTAATTTATGCCTTTTCTTAATATTATTTACGTATTTGCACATCTACATGAAAATATCTTTAATTTGACACCTCAAACGTTAGAATCCGTCCAGCCGTTATCGAGTTATGACTGTGAAAAGAAAACTGCTTGCGTATTAATATATAGGGTGAGTTTTATTTGTCCCCCCGATCTTTTTTCTCCATTTTTTTTTAATATCAATCCCAGACCACTTCCAAACATTGTTGGGTAGTAAGTACTTAATTTTGACAAGGTGGTCATTTCCGGCCGCCCTCTTGGATCCGCCATTTCGGATGCAAAATATTTTTCTCAAATGTAAAGGTGGGGTTGTGACCCATTATTTCGGACTAGAATTTTACCCTGATTACAATGCCGCAAACACTTTTTAAAAATCTTGATCTATTCCAAAGTTATGAGGGCTTTCTAAAACTTTATTTTTAACCCATTTTAACATTGTGCATGTACAAACTAAGACCATAATCTCAAAATAGTGTTAGATAAAGATAAGTATACACTACCAGTAATTGTCAACCTATTTTCACATGATTATGACTGATGTATTTTTTCCGGCCGCCATCTTGGATCCGCCATTTAGAAATGTGATAAATTATTTTAAATATGAAGGGGGTGTTGTGACCCATAATTTCAAACTACTTTTTTAAGCTAAACTAAATGCCTCAATCCGTTTTTATTTATGAAATATTGCAACTTTTTTGTTAAAAATGTCAATATTTCAAAATCAAAATATGAAAATGAAACGTGAAATGAGATGAAGAATCAATGTCAGAAGCAGTTGAAGCGGGTTTTCCGTCGTGAAAAAGATGAAGATATGAATTTTGAATTGCTTTCATGTTGGTGAATTTAATATTGTGATGTAATCATGTAAATGAATACTTTTCAGAATTAAAGATATATCAAAACCTTAAATTTAACCTTTAATAATGTTACTATTTTGTACAAAATAAAATAAGGTTTCGTTTTCTACCTTTAAATCATATTTATTATGTACACCTTACACTGTGTATGGTAATGTAAACAATAAGCATGCCGTTCCGCCCTGAGTTCCTAATGTCTTTCAATTTATTGGGTAATATTCAATAGTCAATGGTAATATACACTTTTTTAGTAGGCTACGAACTGATAGAGAAACTCGTAGTGTGATGGTTTCAGGTTTCATTGCATTGGCGATATATTAAATAAAAACAGCATAGTTAAAAGCATATGGCAGTCTTAGTTTTTGGCCAAAAGTATTATACTGTACTGTACTATATGCGTTGGATTTGCAATTTAAACCGCCACAAATCTTTACTGATGTAAAAAATCATACTTTGAATATTAATTGCGAAAATAGGAAAATACCTCATGTTTTTTTTTACAAAATATCAGTTTCGAATGCGATTTTTGACAGTTACAAACTCAATATGGCTTTTTGGTGTAGTTAGGTAGAAACTCTTATGGGGAATAATCCAAAACGTATTCTACCTCTCTATATGGTACGGGTTTTACACAATAAAAAAGTAAAGGCTCATATTATTGTATACTTTTCCTGCCATTTTCCAAGATGGCAGACGTTGCCCAAGTGGGAAAACTTGGGTATTCTCAGAAAATGTTCTCGGACATGTGCCAAACACATTCCAGTTGGTTTCGATCGTGGTCTAATTTTGTCCATGTGAAGTCCTTTTTTCCCTTATGTTCATAGACTATAAGGATTCCAATTAATGATTAACAAGATACCGCCATAATCCCATTTTAATTTTTCTTACCTTCTCCTATTTTACTTCCTTTGGCAATGTTACAAAACTCAGTATCTACAATATAATGGCATTTAAAAATAATCAAGTCTGTGATGATGATTGGTCAGTACTATTTTGCGTTAATGCATGTGTTAACGCACATATATGAGTTAATGTGTTGTTACAAAAATTGTAACGTTTATAAATGTAATTGGTATCAAAACATGCCATATCAAAAGGAAAAAATTATAATAATTGAAAATTTGAAATATAAAGATAAAAATAACATAAAAAGTAAACATTTTCACAAATGATTTGGATATAATAAGATTTACCTGAAGATATGCAAAAAATTGACTCTCTTTTTCATTCTGCACTCTAAATTGTTGGTTTGAGAATAATTTTTCAGTTGAAAATCTGCAAGTCACTATTACAAGGATTGGCCTGGATTGTAAGACTAAACCACAAATTACAAGTCTCTGAACAGTGACTCAGCAATTGCTGAGCATTTTGGAAGGGATAATAACAGCTGAATTACACCAGACAGTCCTGGTCTGATCTGACAACAGTCTCAGCCAGCTGTCTCCCAGGTGAGGTCATTTATATACAAGTAGAACATTATTTGTTTGCAATGGATGAATGTTGATTTAATGGGTTTTTTACGATTAATTATTATTTTTCACTGTGCCCGAATGTTTAATAACTTATGCATTACAGATTTTACGGTCGAAATGTGTTGTTGTTGTATGATATTTGTTTACATTTATTGATGTAAATTATAATCTATATAATTAATACGCTGCATGAAACTTTGTCGGTTAAACTCTTCCGCCATTTCTTAAGCGATTTTATCCATTGATGTCTCATTAGAAAGAGCGTGTCGCGTAGATTTGCAAACTGGCCTTACATTTTTGAAAAAGTCCCGTGGGCTCTGCCTCAGTGGCTTTGAAAGTTCCCATGTTACCCTTATGGAGAACATAATTGTTTACATTTTGATCAGCTGTATAATTTAATTGCTATTATTTATTTTTCAATTCAACATGGGTACAATTATTGATTTTGTTGAAATTAAATATTTACTATTCATTCCTATGTAGGGCCACAATGTAAAAAATCGAGAAAGCCTGGGCAATTTGATATATTTTATCAAATAAGAAAAATGAATTGACAGGGTACTGTATTTCTTGAGCAATCATTGCAAGAACCGATTTGTTAACCATGGAAACATAGGAAAGTCATAGAACGTCCTCAAGTAGAAGAAATAGAGATTTAAAAAATAGTATATTACGTTACTAGTGTTTAATATTCCTTCAAAGACTTTGGTAGAAAAAAAATTAAAATCTAAATATATAAAAAGGAGAGTGTGTGTGGGTACTGCATGTCCAGCGTTTTTTCCATGACCACCCACTCCTGCCTGTTAGAAGTACATGCTATTGGGGTGCACTCCAAAGTACAATTTCCACCTTAACATTGACCTTGGTGTCTGTCCTAAGTCCTAAGGGCTTTTAAAGGTCTAAGGTGAGGTTTCTTTTTAATAAAAGTTGATTGGGTCCTAAATAACTTCTTGATAAGAGTTGTAGCCTACAATGTGTTATTAAAAGTACATACACACAGGGTGATTGATGAAAAGTGGTTTAAATAGGTCATTTGTTAGGAGTTTATTTTAAAGAGAACTTAAAATTAACAACTTCCCTTCTTTTTTTGTGTCATTTTACAAGATGCTATTTAGAATTCAAAATTATGTATTAATTGAACCATATTGAACTATTGTTTATGGTATTATGGTTATAGTAAATAATTAATAATTTCCTTGTATTTAAATTAAAAATGAATTTCGACAATAGTAAATTGAATACTAAATGGTTAATAATTCAAATAGAAAATAAACAATTATCGATCAGCTGATTATTATTCTTCTATCAGCTGGTTATCTTCTTCTTTAATGGCAAGCTTTACTGATTAGTTGTTGTAAACAGTAATACAATATCCATGGTTATGTGTAGCTTATAATGGCTGCAAATCCAAAACGGTTAGGTTTATCAAATAAATTACAGGAGTAAAAATGTCTTAAAATTGTACGTGGAATCCAAAAATATCATAAAAAGTGGTGGTTGTCCGCCATTTTCCAAAATTTTAAATTTTATATAGCATTTTGTAAAATGTCACTAAATAAACGGTATCAGCAATCTGACACATACTTTCTCCCATAAGCTTGTCAACAACGTTTATCATGGGTAAGCGGTGAGAGTATGATATTTTATCGTTAAAAATCATAAAAGTTGCAATAGCTTTTGAACCGTAATTCTTACAGCAATGGGGTGTTGTACTATTTTTTTTTTTAGAATTATAAGGACCATAACATATTAATTTTGATCAAAACCAGCTTTTCTCCAAAAAATCCGATTTTTCCGTTATTTTATGGGAAAATCCCCATTAAAAATCAAAATTTCAAAAAAATGAAAAAACATTTAAAATTTTAAGGGACACAACATACTAAGTTAAATCAAAACCGGCTTTTTTCTAAAACCCTATTTTTTGTTGTTTTTTGGGAAAATAACATAATTTACAATAACTTTTGAAAAGTAATTTTTACAGAAATGGGAGTCGTACCATTTTGTTGTTTATCAAAATCGTTCGGGCAATTTTTGAGAAAATCCGATTTTTCCGTTATTTTATGGGTTTTATGGGAAAATCAACATTAAAAATACAAATTTCTAAAAAATGAAAAAAAAAACCGCCTGGAGATACCATGGATTAGAACCTACACACAAAATTTCATTGAAATCGGATCACAGGTGTAGTCCCTAGGTCTGTACACATCCAGACACACAGACATCACTTCGAAAATCACTTTTTTGGGTCCAGGGGGACCCGAAACGATATATCCACTATGAACTCAAACTCGAAAATTTTGACGATAACAATACTTTCTCCATATACTATGGTATAGGGGAGAAAATAAAAAGAAGGGAAGTTGTTCATTTAAAGTTCTCTGTAAAATAAATGCCTGAAAGGTTACCTATTGTAACACTTTAGGAAAATCACCCTGAATACGTCTAACAACACTTCAAACATATATTTACAGTTATATTGTTCACTCACAAGACGTAAATTACATATAGAAGATGGAAAGTGGTGATCGATTTCAATTGGATACTCCAATCATCATCAGACCCAATAGGCAAATGACAAAAAACTACATTTAAAAATAATGCTGTAACATGGTAATTTTCTTTGGTTAAAGTTCCACGTTAAAGGAATTCTGATAGTAGTTAAATTATTAAAGAATTAGTTTTGATTGCTATTGTATATAGAATGGATGGGAAACAAACAAATAACCAGCTTTTCTGACAAATAGTTCTATAAGCTTGTCATTCCAGTTGACTATCTTATATATAATTTAAAAGTTCGTTTGGCTCTTCTACCAGACCGATTTTCATGATTGGGTTCTCAAATTGAAGGTATGCACACACAGATTTCACATCGAGCATTGGTGTATATTTATCTACAGTCCCACTTGGCTTATAGGTAAAGGAAATTTGCTCCCCGTGTATTTCTTATGGGAGTTAAATTTGTTTTTCTTTTCCGAGTTTGTTTGGCTCTTCTACCCGACCGATTTTCATGATTGAGGTCCCAAATTGAATATGTGCATGCACAGATTTCACATCAAGCATCGGCATATATTTATCTACTGTATTACTCGACCAAAAAACATAAATTTGATTATTTCTCAGATATGATATTTATTTCAACACTGCGGAGCAGCATGGGTCCTCTTAATTCACTTTTACCAAGTGTGGAGTGCATAAAATAAAATAAATAACTTTTTCTCAAACATAAGAGTTGGATTACTTGAATAATTTGTTTGTCATTTCATTTGAGAGGAAGAGTATACAAGAATTACCGGCAGGATACAAGCATGTTTTTGTGGTTAACAATTACTAAAACCTAGGGGAAGTTTTGGTATCCAGTTTTCTTTCATTCCCCAGTATCCCTTTATTCAGCTCTCCTCTTTAGTCAATTGTGCTACAGTGTAATGAATATAGTTGAACAACTTGCAGCAACATCATTTATTTCAACTCAAACTAGCTCCGGCTCTAACATGGGACTAGGACTTCTATAAATGTACTTCTACCAATAGTCAACAAAGAAATAGTATTTAGTTATTTAACAGAAACAAATATTTTTATTTAATAAAATATCATGTGTTTGCAGAATGGAGTGGGCGCTAGAGGGTGTTTTGATACAAGCCACGTTGATCATCGCCACAATAGCAGGTCTCTTATATTCCTACATCACTAGGAACTACAACTATTGGAAGCAGAAAGGTATTCCACATGAAGAACCTACCTTCCCCTTCGGCAACGGGCAAGATCTTGTACTAGCAAGAAAACATTTGGGTGCATTTTACGAGACATTCTACAAGAAGTTCAAGAAGAATAAGTATGGCGGAATATATGAAGTTCGAAAGCCGACTTTAATCGTAACTGATCTAGACATTGTGAAACAAATCCTGACAAAGGACTTTTATCACTTCATGGACCGTCCGTTACCTCCTAAGTCTTCCCATGATTTCCTCGCCAATCATTTATTTGCCATGGAGGGAAAAGAGTGGAAAGAAATGAGAACGAAGTTGACCCCGACGTTTACCTCTGGAAGGATGAAACAGATGTTTACGCTGATAGAGAAATGCTCCGAGCAACTTAAGAAACATCTGGAACCGTTGGCTTTGAATGATGAAACAATCGATGTCAAGGATTTAACAAGTCGTTTTACCCTTGATATAATTTCCACTTGCGCTTTTGGTTTGGATGTAAACACTTTGCAAGATTCTAATGCTGACATTTTTGATATAAGTCAATTGATATTCAGGCAGTCAAAATGGAAAAATGTCAAACGATTTTTCATGTCGACATTTCCGGTTACAGCAAATGTGTTTGGTATGTCTTTGACGGACGATCGAGTAAAGGATTTTCTTTTAAAGTTAACTGAAACAACAGTAAAATACAGAGAAGAAAACAATGTGAGCAGAAATGACTTTATGGATCTTCTGATCAAAGTAAAGAACAATGCTTCTTTGGATGATGACTCTCACGCTCAAAACAAGAATCATGGATTTAAGGAAAATGGTAAGAACTGTACTCTTGAATTTTCCATTTCTAGCCAATTTACCATATAAGGAATCTTCTATATTATTAACACGCTACATGAAAATTTGTGCTTTTTTGTTTTAAGATTTAACCCCACATACAGTAGACTCCCTCTTATCCGGACACCTTTTAACCGGACATCGGTTTAATCGGACTACACTCGGCGGAAATTACATCTCTTTAACCGGACAATTTTTATCAGCACATCGGTTTAACCGGACTAGATCGGCAGGAAGTGGGCGGTACTGAAACGACTGTTCTCGTGGGAAAGATTTGGGACCAGTGATTACGTGTCTAAATACAATGCTCTCCAAAATTTAAGTCAAATACTTTATACAGTATGCATTTAATCGGTCCGTTTTAACGAGTTTTTGGGGACGTCGGTTCAGAAAAACCGTTATCCGGACTGGCCTCGGTCCCGAGGAGTCCGGTTAAGAGGGAATCTACTGTATTATATACCAAAATGTTCGTCTAGGTGTGTGCAAACTGACCTTATATTTTCGAAAAAGTCCCTTGGGATCTGCCCCAGTAGCTTTTAAAGTTCCCATGTTATGCTTGTGAAGAACATATTTGTTTAAATTATGATCAGCAAAAAATTGCTGTTACTATATTTTAGTTAAGGAAAACGTGTGCTACAAACATTTACTGACTTTATTGAAATGAAATATTTACTATTTGAATTTTCGTTGGCGTAAATATTACAATGGAAAAAAGCGATAAAGCTTGGACAATTTGATATACTAAATAGAAAACTAAATTAACACTGTGCTGCATTTCTTCAGCAATCAATGACAGAGCCGATTTGCAAACTATGGAAACATAGAACAATCACAGAACACCACCAAGTTGAAGAAATAGAAATAATGTTGCTTTTTTTTGAATTTATAATTGTTATTATGGACAACCTAATGCGGCTATGAGTGGGAAACTTTTGTAGAAAACACTAAAAAACAAGATCAGCTTTTGAAAAATGATAAGATATTTACATGAAATAAATGTTGGTTATATCGAACTGTTATGTAGGCCTATATCGTGAGTATTTCCATAATCTTTGAGTCAACTCTTTTAAAGTCATCGGAAATTATGACTGTTATTCGTTTTAAAATAACGCCTGTAATACTTCGCAATCGCTCGAAATCGAGCAACAGGTACTCTAGTAGGCTATAAACGTACTCATGGTAAGACCTGGACCTGGGACCGATTTACTTTTTCATTTTGAGGACTTCAGAGACCGTTGAAATTCATATTCATATCGCTGTTGTCTATTAAAATAACTACCTTGGAATGACAAGGCTTTAACATTTTTTACCTTGGAATGACAAGGCTTTAACATTTTTTAAGAAATTGAGATATTTTTAGAAATAAATTCCTTTTACTGAGATCTATAAACAAAACTTACTTTTATCACAAAATAGCAGATGCTAAACAGCTTACTATTTAATTTGACAAGGCTCAGAACTCTTTTATTTTTACTAATTTATTATTTTGGGTTGACAAGGTTGTAACTACATTGTGTCCTTTTTACTCTGTGTCCGTTAGCACAATAACTTGAGCAAAAATGATTAAATTTTGTTTAAATTTGGTACCAACTGGTTAACTATATGTTTATTCAAACAAGTTCACAAATTAGCATGATCGGACTATGGGAATGGGGATTTATGAGGTAAAAATTGGGTATTCCCATTTTTGACCTTAAATCACAAAATTTTGCAATTTCTTTCCAAACCATTTTGTAGAGCTTTAGAAACAAATAATTACGTGTATTGAAGTGTTTTTATGTGCTTAATGGTAAAGGAGAATATTCACAAGAAAGTGTAAATTTAAAATTCCCCTGCATTTTTTTATATAAAAGTCAACTGTTTTCACCTCATTCATTCACCTTCATCTACCCTATCGCACCCTGTTATGTATTTTCCAATCCTTTTAATGACAAAGTATTGAGTAACTGAGTGAAGGATTCAGATGATCTATTGAAAACTTGTTCTACTTCATAAAATATCTTGATTCAAAGCTAACTTATTGAACCCTTCCTCAAATGCAATATCACAGGACAAATATTTTGTTTTAGCATTAACACTGAAAGAAATGGCTGCTCAAGCATTTGTGTTCTTTGCTGCTGGGTTTGAAACAGCTTCTTCTACAACCACGTTCGTGTTGTACGAGCTTGCACGCAATCCAGACTTGCAGGAGAAGTTGAGACGGGAAATTGACGAAGTTCTGGAGAATAATGACGGAAAAATTACCTACCAAGCAATCCAGGAGATGAACTACATGGAGCAAGTGCTAAATGGTAAGATACAGATTCTGGATCTCGTTATTCATGCCCAAAATTGTTTTTTTTTATTCATGCTTACAATTATTGTGAATAAGTCGGTTATATTGTCATAACAATTTTATCTACTTGGATTAATGGATCATATCTTTTTACGCAAGAGGTAGATTTTATGAATAATTCCAGTAAAAAAGATGAATATATTTTGAATAACACTGTAGTTTTTAACCACTTAAAATATTTGGAAATCAGCAAAACCACTGAAATATTGATTAGAAGACAAAACTTTCCTGCTCCGGACCATAAACAATAAATTAGATATTTTCCCATTGTTTTATTGTGCATTTAGCATTACGAAAATAGTACTATTTCTGATGTAAAATATATCTGTCAAGCAATAAGCTCATTTGTTCTTTCTACAAAGATTCAAAATAACACTATAATATTTTTTTTATATTTCTTCTTTGATTCCAAAACAATATATTGGCAACTAAAACAAAAGAGATTTGATCATTCTTTACCATAATACTTAAGCGTGAAATCAATTTAAAAAGGAATCAATTAAAAATTTAAAATCTGTTTCAGAAACATTGCGTATGTATGCATCAGTTCCAGCTTTGATCCGCAAGTGCACTGAGCCGTATAAAATACCAGACAAAAACGTAACTCTGGATCTCAATGTAAAAGTTGTAATTCCAAGCTATGCTATTCATCATGACCCAGATATTTACCCAGAACCATTCAAATTCGACCCAGAAAGATTTAGTGAAGTAAATATCAGAAGTAGACACAATTACTCCTTCCTACCTTTTGGCGAAGGTCCACGAGTGTGTATTGGTGAGTAAGAGAATTAATTAATTAATTAACACTTAAAAAAATAATTGTATAACCTCTTAATTAGTTTTACACCTAATGTTTTTTTTACGTATATTCACCATTTAATTATTTACAGGGTGCAAAATATAAGCAGAAATATGTTACATAGATTGACAATTTTGACTTAACATAATCAGATTATTATTAAAAATATTTCTCAGATTTTTTTATTCATTCTTATAGCAGTAGATGAGTAAGATGTATTTAAAAATTGGTTGGATTTTGCTTGTACAAAATCAGGATGTTAGTACAATGGCCATGACCTTGGTAGGCTGTTATTATAGTGATTATCTGGGTTGGGGTACTTCAGCTTGCAAGGAAGGAACAGAAACATGTTGACCTTGACACAACGTTTCTGTTCTATTTTTGTCTTGCAGTTGATGAGGTTTTAGTACTGTTTTAATTTTATTCTGTTTTCAATTGATAGCTGCAACTTTCTAAACAATGCTCAATGTATCAGCATGGATAAAACCTAAAACATACTTCGGCCCTTAGTGGATTTCTCATTGTGGATCAGCCAACGATATAAACAACTCAGTTATATAAATCGTAGTTAGCATAGTTATCGTAGTTAAATAACAGTAGTTATTTACATCGTTGGGATCAGCTGCGTGTATACAGATTTATTGTTCTGTACGGTCCACTGCTGTAGACGTGTTTTGTTTATAATTTGTTTCTTGTTATTTCAGTAATTTAAAACCTCGTTAAACCAAATAAAATGATCTAATCATAAAAAATAACTCGTCTCCTAGTTAATTAAACTAGCTGTTATCCATTCTATTTGTCTATGCTGTTACCCACAGGCCTCAACCCGTTTGACTTTATAAGTATTAATAAAACTATTGATTTGGTTAAGAAGCTGAAATGAACAAAACAGAATACAGTAATACAAACAAATAATTACACCTGATTTTAATAAGGTAATAAATTGAAAGCATAACAAACAAATAAGAACAGCTGAGGTATTTTTTACAAAAGGTATATGGAAAGTTCCCTATAGAAAAGAATTGCGACATTTAAGGGCAATTTATGAAATAATGGATAGTTTTGTGCAAGGTTTCTCGTCATGAAGAACATTTTAAATAAGGTTTATGGGGTGTGACTTTTCTCAGATTGAAGGTCCACGAGTTTTCTCAAAAGTTCATCGGTACTTTGGGATTTATATATGGATTTAACCAATCAGTAAAGCACAAAAATCTTGAAATTAACCGTAAAACAATAGAAACAAAATTTTGTCAACCCTATTAACGATCAGTGTCCCCAACATAAACTAGACACAAAAACGAGCTTCAAAATTTACAGTGGGATGAGATGTTTACTTGGTATCAGTCACAACTTTCAAAAAACATTTCTCTCTGATTCATAGAAGTTGAAAACAAATTTTAATATAAGATTATCTATGTTGTTGTTGTCTGTAGTTCTTGAATAGATAAGATGTTTGTGTCACCCTATAAATTTTGTCAGCTTGTGTGACATCTTCAGGGGGTCTTCTTTATTTATCTTCTTACCACTAACTCTAGGCTTATAGTATATATATATATATTTACAAAAATATTTAAAGTTGCGCTGTCACTAATATCATGGTCTGATTGATCCGTCTCCCCCAGACACGGCAGAAAGATAACTGCAAATTCATCCATAGTCATCAGCCGTAAATGTTTAAGCTTGACTTTATATTAGTACCACCAGCAAAACATGGATTTTGTTGTTCAAAACTCGGAACTACTCCGGGTCCAGCAAGGCCCCACTAGAAAAACAGGATAGGCTGCAGGATCCATGACGTCACACTTGTGGATAGATTCACTATCATATTCCATATGTTTTAGGTAAATAAGCTGGCTGTTAACTCTGGCAACTTTAGTACACCTATCCACCGCTGTGACGTAGTGTTGCGCTGCCCGTGCTGTAGCATGGTATGTTTTTCTAGTGTGGCCTTGGGCCCAGCTGTCCTTGGTCGAATATCAGCTTATAATAAATGGCCCTGGTTAAAGAATTGACTGATCTTAGTCAGATAAAAAAGCTACACGTCACACTCCATTCTACAGCCACTTTTCACTGATATTCAGCTTCAAATTTGCTTCTTGGTGTGTGGATTTATGATAATGATACTAGGAGTTAGTTTTTTAATTAGAACTTGTTTTACAGGTATGAGATTTGGCAAGATGCAGGTGAAGGCTGGATTGAGTACAATAATATCTAACTATGAGTTGAGCATTACACCAGAAACTCCCATACCCTTGGAGATAACTCCTAACAGTATAGTGACCGCTTCTGTCAAACCAATCAAGTTGAGGTTCTCCAAGAGATCATCATAGTGTGCCAATGGGGCAACTTAGTGAGAAAGTGTTTCGTAAAGGTGCTCTTCGATTATCTGAAGTACTAGAACCGATGTTTCTAAAAACTGTGATAGAGAACAATTTACAACTAAAGCAGAACCTTTTGATTCTATAGAACTAAACCTTCCATCCCAATGTTGAAGTTGGTTACAGAGACTAAAAAACTGTACATTAAATATTATCCGGTTATTGTACAGGAGAAAAAGAAAACTGTTGTAGTTCGCTTGTTTATGGATATCTTTTGATAAATATTTTACAATTTATTTGTTTCATCTGTAATCAACCTTTAACTTAGGTCTACAATGGAAACTCCATGTACAATTTCGAAACTTAAATTTATTAATTATAATACAAAACTGATAGTAAAGAAAAGAAAGGGGGTTCACAATAAATTGTACAAACAGTGGGAGATGAATTTACTTTAAAACTTTAGGCTAGGCCTATTACAATGGTTTTAATTATTTAGGTTCAATGTTATAATTTACTGTAAGGATCTTAATCTCAGGTTGGGTGATCGAGCGGCATTTGAATTTAATCTTGTGATATAAGCCTAATTAAATTTTGTTTTAAAATATAAAGTATGTTCGAATTATAGATTGGTTGAATTAATAATAGTTTTGAATAAGTTAAGCTTCTATTAGTTCTTGACTTTGAATTTGAGTACAAATGTCCAAAGGTTGGGCCTAAAAAAAGTTTTAATGGCTTCCAAAGGGGAAAATGTCTATTGGAGTAATCTCACCAAAATTGATGTCTTCTTTGAAGTAAAGTTCTTGATGATCAGGGTTTCAGAAAATTTGGCATTCCATTTCTACTCCAGTTATTTATTTCACTGTACATCTTGGACTCATGTATGTTTAAAAATTTTGTTAAATTAATTTGGTCTGTTTGCAGTTTTCCTATCCTGAGCCAAATAAAACCAAGATCAGTGAAATGTAAAACATGGTCAAACTATTCTTTCTACCAGTCCTATTGCCTTATTCGTCCTGCCTGACTGTTATGTCAGGAGCATAAAAATATATTTAATTTTTAGCTTTTTTATTTTCATCCATATACAGGGAATAAGCTATTACCATTGACTATGATAGTCAATGCTATTACCCTTATATCAGGTAAGTCCTGGACCCGGGACCGATTTACTTTTTCGTTTTGATGTTCCCACAAGCCAAAAACACCATCCGTTCAAACTCAAATCATCTATCCTACTTTTATAAAATTGATCTGGTGACTGCTGTCTGCCTATGTCTCTGGGCAGTTTTCACAACTAAAAACTAAACCGATACAACCAAAATTAAGCACAAAGATGGTCCACATATATAGGGAATAACATAGGCCCTTGACACTTCCCTGAGATCTTATTCCACTTCCTGAAGTCCACGATAACTTAAGCAAAAATCAGTAGATTTTGATGAAATTTAGTACAAACGTGTAAACCTACGTTTATTCGAACGAGCTCGTTAACCAGCTCGATCGGACCATGAGAAAGGGTTTTTTTTTTTGGGGGGGGGGGGGGGGGTGTTAAAAGTTCAGTTTTTTTTTTATTTTAAAATATTTGGTTTTACAATACCTTCATCAGTTCCAAATGTAACCTTCGTCAACGTGTTACATGTTTCGGCGAGCTGCCATTGTCCTGTATTAAAGTGTTTGACAGTGGCAGCTTACCGAAACATGTAACACGTTGATGAAGGTTACATTTGGAACTGATAAAGGTATTGTCAAACCAAATATTTTATATATTACAGTTCCGGGGCTACAACAATGATTTTTTTTTTAGATTATCAAAACATAGAATTTCCCAATTTCTCTCGAATCCCATTTTTTAGAGCTTACAAACTAATAATGTAGTAACTTGAAGTGTTTTTGTAAGATTATTCAATATTCATTTTAAAGAATATTTAAAAAACTGTAAATTTAAAACTCTGCAGGTAAGCTGTGGCAGGAGTATTTGTTTTTCCAACATGTGTAGTCTTTAATCGAGTCCTCCAATAATAAACAATTACCAGAGCTATCTTTAGGGAACTGAAGATCCTCACAGTGTACAGTCAGTATGTTTACAACATACTAACACTCCTGAAAGAAAATAGGAGCGACTTCATGAAAAGGGAAGACCATCATAACTACAGCACTCGAAGAGCTCAGGATTTAGACCTTCCACGCTGTCGATTCGAACGGACCTTGAAGTCCTACCCTAGGTCGGCCATAAAAATCTTCAACACACTGCCGTCGCAAGTTCGAGAGATGGGCATGAAAGAATTTTAAAAAGTTGTACATAAGGCCCTAGTGAATAGGCCACTATATTCTCTGGGGGAGCTGAATGAGATACCACTCTTCCCTTCACAATAAAAACGTCCGCCATACCACCAGTAGTTGTAAATATTAGTTTTATTATAGTAACTTATTTCAATAAATAAATCAAGTCTTTACATTTTTAAAGACATGACGCGATCTATCTGACATTGTCAGTCAAGGATCAAGAATACAAGTATTCAAAGTAAGTAAGTATTCAAGTAATAATACTCAAATTATTCGATTATAAAGTTAATTCTATTCTATATTACTAATACGCTACATGAAACTTTGTGAACAATAAGGCTTTTTTGTTTTAAGATTTAACCCCACATATTACGTACCAAAATGTTCGTCTAGGTGAGTAGATTTGCAAACTGACCATACATTTTTATAAAAGACCCTTGGGCTCTACCCCAGTGGCTTTTAAAGTTCCCATGATATCCTTATGAAGAACATATTTTTTACATTATGATCAGCTGGATAATTTAATTGCTGTAAATATTTTAGTTGCAAAGGAACGTGTGTTACAAACTGGTAATTGGTTGAAATGAAATATTTAATATTTGAATTTGGGTTGGCGTAAATATTACAATGGAAAAAAAGCGAGAAAACAATAATTTATCGAGCAATCATTGAAAGAGCAGATTTGTAAACCATGGAAACCTATGAATAGAACACTACCAAGAAGAATAAATAAAAATTAATGAGTTTTTTTATATTTATAATTGTTATTATGGACAACCTAATGCAGGTATGAGTGGGAAAAATTTGTATAAAACACTATGGGGTAATAGTTTATTCCCTACCATGAGACCTACGGTAATAACTTATTCCCTATGGGAAATTCGCTAAAAATCATGCCTTCTTGGAAACTGTTTAGTTTTATTCCTTTAATTTGACCCAACCTATTTACCCAATTATGGCAAGAACGTATATGTGTAATTTTATTACTCTGTTTTCTCCTCCATTTTCCTGAGGCTCCTGTCAATGTGTAAATGAGACTTTACATTATACACACAGATTATTAACGATGTTTGTGTATTCATTGTTATTAATCTGTTCCCCTCGAGCCTAGCCTCTGTGAAAAAATGTTTGACTAGTAATTTATTGTTGCTAATTAAATTGTATTTGTTGTTTTAAATGTTTTGTATGGTTAAATTGTTGTACAAGATATTTAATGTAAAACTATGTTCATGTCTGCAAGGAGAAGGTAAACATGCATTATTACAATGTGTCTCACATACTATGTTTTTCAATGTTATGATTAATGCTAAAATTAAATTTGGTGCAAGTGTTTTTGTAACACTTAAATGAATCTCGAGGACTCTGCTCCACGTGCTTTGTAGCAATAATGTATGGGCCATTTTTAGCTAATAATAGCCTAATTGTTCAACATAAATCAATGAATCAAGGATATTTGCCTTGTTCATACATTTTTTAGCTTTACAGCTACCAGGACTTGAAATAAATAAATTAGCTTGTTGAAATGAAGCAGTGCGACCTTTTTTATACGACGATACACTTTTTTATACAATAAATTGTTAACCATTATTATTAGTAAAAGTAGCCGTATTTTTGAAAATAGTTGGTACATAGTTGTAAAATTATTTGTAGGCTACACACCCTGTTGGAGAGCTCGTTTAAGACTACTAATCAAAACTTATTATCATTGTGCGCGCAAACCTTACTTGTAGTATAGGGTACAGGATAGGATTAACCATGGATTATTATACTTGATAGCAATTATTTATTCCCTCTTTAATCAATAAATAAAAAGCGATAGTTAATGTTTGCTTCAATTCATCTGAGTGAGGTTGTGGCTGTCATCTTAAGGATCGAATCGTGTGAATTCATTTGCATCTCTCACATCACAGTTTTCCGCTGAGGTGATTTCCCAAACCCAGTCCCTTATATACGAATTACGATCTCCACGTATTTGTACTGCCTGTGTTGTAAATATGTCACGCTTCTCAATCACCCAAGCAACACAATTTGTCTTTGATGTAATATATTTTACAACCACTCTGTCACATGACTCTGCAGTTACGTTATACAAGACAAATTTGCTAGCAGAGAATTTTGATGTAGTAAACTTTGCTAGTAGCCGGTATTCAACGTATAAAGATATAATATGTTCACCTTCTTGATCCCTGGAACCTGTCACGATGAGATAAGTTTTATATTTACATTTTGTTTCCAGGTCGCTGGTAAATTTACTTTGGCTTCGAGGTTCGCTCATTCGGTCCCAAAGATTTAGTTGGTCTTTAACGCCCATCAAACCCGTCAAGAAAGCTGAAAACAGACATTGTGTTAGAACTACTTAGGTTAATAGTATACTCCATTATAGTACCACAAGTAGTGGACTGAGCACGGTAATGACATGAAGCCTTGTAACAGGTCTTTTGAGATAACCAATGAACTACACGTGATATAAAAATAAAACATAATCATTAATCTTCTATATATATAGTATAATTTCTAAAGTGCTTTTATTTGTCGGTAGACCATAACTTCCTTACTTCTTCACCAATTTCATACTAAAAAGAACTCTATTATCAAGTTGATGAGGAACCTAAGCATGGTCCAAGATTGGTTGTAGCTCACTTGGGCACCTACACTATCAAAGCGAAGTTGGCTGACTCTGGTCAAAATGTCATACGCAATAGTCCGTAATCCCTTCAAACTGACTAAGAAGGAATTTTCCATAAAAGTTACCTTTGCCATGATTTAAAGTAAGGCACATGGACACTGGACAGACGCTGAAGAAGGAAGGATTGTACGTGCCAGACCCCATATTAAAAAAAAAACAGTTTTTGTGGCTTTGTCAAGGGTGCGCTTTATCAGAGAAAATCATGTTTGTTTAAAAACAAAGCCATCAACACAAAAATCGTATATGGCCATATTATCAATTCAAACATAGTGTTCAAAGAGGTCCTGTAAACATTTAAAATCGTAAATAACTGAACATTATATTTTGAAAAAGTTAATCATCTAAAATAAAAATCTCATCTATTCCTGAAGTAAGAACCCATACCTAAATCAACGATGCACTTACTACGCAGTATTAACTGTATGTTGTGTACTTCAATGAGTGGAATTTGAGAAGGATGCAGTGTGAATGCTTCGCACGAGTCGGCCAGTACATTTAGAAAATAGTTTTTTTTAATGCAACGAAATATGATTATTCATTAGAAATAACTATTTCCGTCATAATGCAGCAAAAATAACCGGTTTTTATACATTAGTTGCGGGTCTAAAGTGGCATTTTTAATCTCTAGGGAGTGAATTTTTATTTGTTTAACTAAAAACACTACACAACACGTTTTTAGGTTAAATCCAAGCGTTGAACGAAATGGGAAACACTGCACCAGCTGCTCGTATAGTCGTTCGTAGTATCTCTAAGTGTAGCCAACTTATTTTGAAGCGTACACTATTAGGTAACCTAATAAAAGCACACTGTTTGGTGTTGTTTGTTTGGAATACGGGCGGTAAAAGTAAGTAAATGCAGCAATTAGTTACTTTGCGTGCTATTATCAGTGCAAGGAAGCCAACTTTGTCAGGTAACTGTGAAAAATAGTTATTTTCCTACAGATTGTGGGGCTTCCTTGCACAGATAAAGCCTTAC